ATGTACAAAAAAAAAAAAGAGAAAAATAATTACAGGGAGATTGTATTTTTTTCGGCGAGGTCAGATCAGCTCAGATCGACATATGAATTAAGGAGACGATTGGCAATTTGGCATCGGAAAAAGAGGGAACCCTAGCAGAAGCGTGTGATTTTGCGGAGGATAGGATGAATGAATGGATAATGGAAATTCGAGCAGACGTACATGTAATAACTATATATAGTGTGTAAACATCTGTATGTATAAGCTGTATAAGCTATAGATTCATAGGTTCACTTAGTTGATAAGCTACCTTACAGTAATTTTCGTATTTATAGCTTAGGGCATCCACAACCCTTTAACACAAATATCATTCATTCAATAAAAAAGTATCACTCTCTCTCATCCACATTATCTTTCCACTAATTCTCTCTCAATTTAAACACACACTCACATTCCTACACATTCATTTAAATACATACATGGACCCATTATCCACTCATTCAATATAAATTTTAATATTCTATTCTCAATTAAAATAAAATTTAATATTTTTAAATTATAATAATAAATTTTAAATGCATTAAAATGAAAGAACACTACATAAACAAAAAAACTTAAATTAAGATTATACAAGAAAAAAAAATAGTACAATTACAAAAAAATATTTTTTTTAACTGTTGGCAAAATGAGTCCAAATATGCTCAACTTAATCGGGACGAAGTTAACGATACAATAGAATTATAAAACCGTAGTGTATTTATTTATATAAAAAGAATGAGATGATAACAAAAGTTAATTATTGATACATATTGAGAAATATGATTTAGATAATAATTGAATTAAATATATAAAAAAAAAAGATAAGTTAATAATTTTGATAAATAAAAAAAGTACAATTAAAATAGTATTTAAAACAACAAAAAGAAAAAGAAAAAAAAAAGAAAATGAATTGTGAATGCCGTTCAAGAGTTTGAACGTCAGAGGGGGGGGGGCCGCATTTAATGAACGGCCCACAACCCATTAACGCCCCCCTTCCGTTTAAATGACTAAGAAAAAACGGGGCGATATGGATGCTCTTATAGATAATGACGTATAGTTGAAAAGCTAGTTTATATGATAAAAATATTTGGTAAATTAACTAATAAACTAACTGAAATAAAAAATTCAACTAGTTTATTAAAAAAAATACCTAAAGAACCTCAAACTTTTTAAAAAAACTTATCCTAGCAAACAAAGTCTATTTAAATACAAGAAACTTATAAACTAACCAAATAAGTTATAAAGTAATTTATTTGTTTACCAAACATAGTTTTATTACAAGAAAATGCTAATCTAGTCATTTGATATTTTTTTAACGATTATTGTGTGAATTAGTTTAATAAGAATATAAATTTATAGCATTATCGGTTCGTTATTAGTATTTTTAGAGTATAATATTTTAATTTCATTTATTATAAAATGACTAATCTCTCCCCGATTTCGCTCTACAGTTTTATGACAAGAAAATGGTAATCTAGTCATTTGATATTTTTTAACGTAAATTGTTGTGTGAATCAGTTCAATAAAAATATAAATCTATACATTATGTGTTTGTTTGTATTATTTATAGAGTATGGCATTTTAATTTAAAATTATGAATATTTATTAATAAAGGTTTGTATAAGAGGATCTTTACTTATTATTTTCCTAATGATTAGAAAATACATGAGAGGTGAACATTATTTTTTTATTATATATATTGATAATTTGATTTTTAAATTTTAAATTTGTTGACGATGGGTTGTTATCAAACTAATTTGAGATGCAAAATCTTCGTCAAAACCTATACTTGATCCATTCAACAAGAATACAGATCGATTGGCTCATGTTCTATAAGAACATAGAGAACATAGAGAAATCAGTGCGAAATAGCAACGACTATGGAGTAGCCGAGCGATTTAACGATGACGTTTCTTCACATATCTTGTCCTTATGTCTTGAAATCTTCAAATTGGCGATCAACCTGTTTAGTAGGATGGCCGCTCTCTAGTTCTTGATCATGACTGTTTGGAATTCAAATTGCCAATATGGGTCCAAAATAAGCATTTTAGGGCATGTCCAATCATATCTTGATGAGTAACTTCAGCATTTGGGTCGAGATCAATCATCAAGGTCAGCCAAGACCACTAGACGCCCTCGTTATCAACAAAGATTATCATCAATAAGCCTCGCCCTAGTAGATCGGCAAAAGTAGAGCCTAATCTGTGCAAAGATGATCAAAAAACGATAAATCGACATGTTGGCAAAATATTAATCTATGAAGAAAGAATCGACGAAGATGGTGTGCCATAAAGTAAACGTCGATATTGAAGATATGGGGACCC